AATTTACGACATGGTTCAGTGTCTCTTTTCTCACAAACCCTTGTTTTCATCACATAAGTTGATAAAAATCGAGTGTACAATACCTGCCCAGCATAAAACAGTAAACAGATAAAGTTAGCTAGAAGCAAAGGAGACAGTTTTTCCGCCCCCTAGTGGTCAAACATGGGCCACTAGACTGCTAATGCAGCTTTAAAGTAGAAGCATTTTCACATAATTACAACATGTTCTGACCACCATCAGTGCTGTGGAGCAATGTTTTTATGAGTAGGTCAATGTTCGTATCTTGCACAGTTGGTGCCAGTTAAGTGACAAGAAACGCAAAAAAGAAGATGACTGCTCAAGTAAACGGTGCTAAACAAATCAATCCATCTTTTAAAAATGTTCTCCTGGGAGGAAATGTGGTAATTATGTTTTTCTAGACCTCAAAGATACACATAATGGATTACATAACATTTGTTTAACCTTTAACCTTTAAACTGTTTCACTGTTCTCTCTCATTGTATGGAGACAAAACCTATAACCATTTTAAAAAAAGGTTTAAATTAATCGTTTTGGGAACTATGCTTCTTTGCTTTCTGGAGTCTTGAGGTCACTGTGAGGTTGCCAGGCAACAAGCTGAAACTCCAGGAAGTCACTGCGCCCCGCCAGTCCGGTTTTTGTAAAGAAAATTAAACAAATAGGATATAACGTGTTAATTAGTGAGCTTTAGAGGTGCTGGTTGGCAGATTTAGTTGCCTTTGGACAGAGGCAGGCTAGCTGTTTCCCACCATTGTGCCAAGCTAAGCTAAACAGCTGCTGGCAGGAGCTTCTTATTTACTGTGTTATTCATCTTCTCGTGTATATTTCCCAAAAATACCAGACTCTCCCTTTAACATTTGCTCGTCTAAAACCCCTCTGAAGTCGGCCAGCGCCTTCGTCTGGCACCCAAGGTTATGTTTAGAGTAGCAACAGCGATGTTTTGTTTTGAATTCTTTTTGAAAAACTGACTAGCGTGATTGAACAAGACAAACGAAGCCATCAACAGTGGCATCCGATTAGAATATGGGACTGTTTGCTCGGGAGGACGAGAGAGAGAATCTTACAGGTAATGGTAAGTAATATCTAAAACATAAACTCCTCATGTAAGGGTTTGTCACCTGGACCTCATACGAATAGAAATTCACAAACACACACAAAGAAACATCCAGCTTTTGCAACCTGTTTTCACTGAAAGGCGGTTGATAATTTCAGTGAAAGGAAGCCATTCCGGTGGTTTCATGGTGGTGTTAACGCAGCTGGATACGGTGTTGGTTTTGCGGCGGGTGAAAACACAGGTGCTGGTGAAGCCAGGGGAAATGCTTTACAGCCTGTAAACAAACACATCTCCTGTAATTTCTGCCCTGAGATCTGCGGCCTGCCCCCCCTCCACCCGCTCCAGTTTGGTAAGGCTGAATGTTAGCGTTGGCTATCTGACAACCTCTGGTGTCTAATCTGTTTTTTAAAGAGTGTCCTGACTTGTCATGAACGTTCCTTCCCAGACTGTCTGTCTGTTGTCACTGTTGACGTGTGGGGTTCGTTCATAATGACTCGATGACATCAGGTCCTTGTTTGCATGGCTGTATAATAATCAGCAGTAGCGTCTCAATCTCTCTGCTATGTCAACATCGCCCTCCCTGTTCTGGCTTGCTCTGATGCTCGTCAGGTTGAGAAACATTCCTGATGCGTGTGTGCACGCATGTGTGTGTTTTTCATGTGCAATTATGTAAAAAACAAAGATCATGGATGGCTTCTGAGGACAGGGCTGGATATTTTCAGGTGAAGGACTTCACTGAAGGAGTTTCAGTCTGGCTTCCTTTGCCATAATCTTCTCATTTCCTCTGTAAGTGAATCAAAGCTGATGGGATAATGCTGACCACATGACTCACTTATCCAGCACACACTTCCTCTCACCATATTCCTGAGAAGAAATCCCCTCTTTCCATATTTTCTGCTTCTATTTCCCTGCTCCTGCCCTCCTCAGGACCTCTGGATGCTGGTAGCCTGTGTGACACCCATAGCGGGCCGGGTTTTTTGGGGGCATCTGTCTCAGGGTGATGGGTGCTACCGAAGAGGAGCATTGTGACTCCCAGAGAGAGGAGGGGAGGGTGGGGAGGTTATTGTCCCTGAGCCTGCGGGAGCTGCCATGCACTCCGAGGCCAATAGCAACACAAGAATGCTGACAGGACAAAGGCCATAACTCTATTCTATAGCAACACAAGCAGGGCATTGTGTTCATACAGGCACGCACACACACGTATACACACACATGCATGCATTCGCCATTACTACAATAACACACACATAAACTATACTGGAGCAAACTATGCATCTGTGCAAGCATGCTAAACACTCATTCATCAACCAGTTTCCCACACCATGCAACCCCCCACAGGACATCTCCATCACAGGCTGGGAATGGCCAGTCAATCTGGGGACAATGAGTGAGTGAGCAAGCAAGAGAGACAGTGGTAGAGAGAGAGAGAGAGAGAGAGAGAAAGAGAGAGTGGAGGTCCGCGGTTCAGCTGCAGCAGTTCATGTGTTTGTGGCTCCCTGTTGCGTCTACGCTTCAAGGCCAGTTCCCACCACATAAAACACCTCCGTCCCCGACTAACCTGAAGCTCTGAAGATATTTTACTGAAGTTAAAGTCCCAATAAAGTGATTCAAAATTACTCCTGACATATTACTATACACATTACATTATTAGATTCTTAATACTGCCGATGTGTAAGCAGCGTTTCACTGTTGTAGCTGCTCGAGGTGGAGCTGGGTTTACACACGGTTAATCCAGTGGTTTCCAGACCGAGGGGTCGGGCCCCTCCAAAGGGTCGGGCCCCTCCAAAGGGTCATCGGAGGAAGCTGAGATGTCATAAGATGATTAATGGGGCAGGAAAGAAGAAAAGCTCTGCTACACACTGTTCTTTTGACTTTTCCCTAATCTCTGAAATATTGGATAAATAAAGTGTCCACAAACCAAATATGAATCAACATATTAAGGGTCTTTTTATTTTAGGATTATATTAATATACAGTACATTGCTGAAGGAAAGCTGAGAGTTTGTGGAAATATCTGGGGGAGCTTCATGGGGTTATTAAAACAATGTGTAAAGTGTACTAACCCATGTAATCTTTAAGATTTCTGTACCATATTATTTCAGTAATATGCAATAGTTGTTCCAATTGAAACTCCTAATAAAGATGCAGTAAAGATTCGTAAATTGACCTCTTTGGACCTCCAATGGTTATTTAAAGTAAACCATCTGAGAAGTTAAGAGTGGACTTTTTGGTGGAACTGCTAACAACTCATAAAGTGTATTTCCATCCAGTAAAAGTTGAAATATGGAAACATTAATAAATCATAACTTAGATGAAGCAATGTGACTTAAAGGTCCAGTGTGTAACATTAAGGAGGTTTCATGATATTCATAACTGTTTTCATTAGTGTATAATCACCTGAATAGAAATCATTGTGGTTTTGTTACCTTAGAATGAGTGGTTTATATCTACAGACGCTGCAGGTCTCCTTCCATTGAGTGCGCCATGTTCACCCGCCATGTTCCTACAGTAGCCCAAAAGGGATAAACCAAACCAAACTGTATTTTTTGCGCATTTCGTGGCCACCGTAGTTTCTCCTTTGTGCTTGGAAAGGGAGTGGGGAGCAAGTTGTGAGCAATAACCAGACTGCACCATCGTACACAAACATAAATGCCATATTTCCACATGGTTATCCATCTTTTGAGTTTTGATTGGACCTCTTTTAATTATGTCATCTTGTTGCACCTTATTCTTTTACAGTTGTAGAATGTCACTTAACTGGAGAATTAGCGCCACCTGCTGTTTATCTCAATGCATCCAACTCCTAATATTCGCATTACAATAGTAAATGCATTAATTCGCATTTTCTTTTGCTGATTTTCTGGCTATAGATATCTGAAATGTTTTAAGAGGCTGCAACAAGTCAAAAGATTATGACCCACAGGACTACTTCTGACATTACATTGTATTTTATAAGCTGTAAAGTAACCAGAAACTGTAAGATACCTGCAGTTCCTCTAAAATGTGGTAGAGTTTAAGTACAAAGTGGCATAAAACGGACATACTCAAGTAAAATACAAGTACAATACTTCAGTACTTAGTTACTTTCCAGCACTGAGGCATTCCTTCCAGTCACATTCCTCTCCCCGTATGCACTCGTTCAACCCATCCCCTGCTGTCTGGAAAAAGCTTGGCAGAAACTAGGAGAAGCTTTGACCCCTCTGCCACCAATCTGTGAATGGGCCGTGAATGAGGAAACGTGGGTACAAGAGGCTATCCGGCCACGGCAGTGAAAAAAACATCCACTCCCGCTCACCTCCCGTTGAGGAGGCGAGGCCGGCAGACAGGTGAGTGACCTTCGACCCGGCCTGCCGTGGAGCGCCGCTCGACGCGCCAGGAATGTGTCCACACCTCTCGGCCAACCACGTCCCAGCGTGTGGGCGAGGAGGCGGTGGAAAACAGGCAGGCCGCCTAAACCCAAACAGAGTGTGTGTGTGCTCGCCCCGGCCTCTCTGTTATGGTCTACATTCTGTGGCGCTGTGTGAATGTAGGGGAGAGTGTTTTGGGAGCGAGAGTGATGGATGACTTAATCCGAAGGGACGCTGAGAGAGGAAGGGGAGGTGTGTGTGTGAGAAAGAGAGCAGGGTGATAAGGATATTTTTGTCCAATTTATGTGAAGTATTTCAAGGCCTGGGCAGTTATATCAACTGTTGCCCAGCAGAACTATTCCCAGACGTGAACTCTCATCAAGGTTTCAATGACAAAGAGAGGCTGCTGCAACCTGTTAGAGCTGTAATATGTGAGGTTTCTGCATTAAAATGTCTATAAACTAGAGCTGTGTTATACATGTTGTTGGTCAAACCCGGAGAAATCTGTCCTTTTATTCAGGTAACGCTGACAAACGACGGCCAAAACTGTGAAAATAAAAAATATTCGCTAAACAAGCTGGAATTATCCTTTAATATTACCATATACAAAAACAATTAAACAGAGTGAGAAAAAGATGAACAATAATATTTATATAGATATATACAAATAATACTGTACAAGAGCACAAAGGAAAGAATAAGAAGAACGTTCTGAATTTAGGAGTGTAATATGAGATGAATCAACATACATAACACAGTATCATAAACATTGGAACGGCTGAAAGCAAACCTACAGAAAGAGCTGGACTGAATCTGGACTGTGCTCGTTATATACCTCTGCATTCAACCACGCTCACTCTCTTTCTCTCTCTCTGTCACACACACACAAACACACACACACACATTTTCAAAACAGGCAAATACATTCACGTTCGGGGTAAAACCCATTCACTCTGATTTCAACACAGGCACACCTGGACTGGCTAAGGTTTAACCACCTGTAGTGGCTTGTATGGCTTGTTCAGCGTCACTCTGGGTGCTATGTCTGAAGCACACATACACACACACACACTGCTGCCTGCCTGTGTGTGTGTGTGTGTATGTATGTGTGTGTGTGTGTGCGTCCACTGTAACGGAGCACAGGGGGAATGGACGTGCTCCATCCACAGTCCGTGGGGTCGAGGGTGGTTTAGTGTGTGTGTGTGTGTGTGTGTGTGTGTGTGTGTGTGTGTTTTCAATCTGCCTCTCTTTGTGTGTCCATATTCTTTCAGTCCATCTTAGGCTAAAGTGCTGCAGAGAGGAAGAGGTTCAGTCTTTTTGTGTGTATTTTAATGTATGTCAACGGGTGAGGGGGCATCACTCAAAATAAAACTTGGCCACAGCACAGATTCCCCAGTTTCTCGCAGAAAGAAATCCTACATAGGAATGTGCAAATAAGTCTTAATAAAGTTAAGTCCTGTGTGCTTTTAGCTGGTGCGGTCCGCCAATAGCGTTTATGCTCTCATTGGACAACAGCAGAGAAATAAAGGGGGTTTCAGTCATCTCAGTTCAGCCCCCGAAAGCCTGCTTCCCAGACCTGTGCGATTCAATATTCCACATCTGGAGGACGAGAAAAACACAAATCCACGGCGTTGTTTCGTTTGAAAAACAGTCTCATCTGTCCATGTGTTTGTCTGTCCTCCAACGGTCGGCCTACCAGTTGCAGTCTTTCTTGAGTAGCACGAGGACTTTGCGCCCCAAGCTGGCTTTCCAAGGCTTGACGAAGCTCTTCATGTTGACCAGGAGGCGGCCCTGCTTGCGGTCCGAATGGCCCGCCACGAGGTACTCCACACCTGAGAAAGACATCAAAGGTGAGGGGAAACAATTTCAATTTTAAAAACTTTAAAGAACAACTTAGATATATTGCAACTCATTACTTCAAATTTAGTGTTCGTGCTTTTGTGTCAGGATCTCATTGTACAAAGGTTAAGGTCGATATTCTTTTTTGTTACTGTCTAGAAATCCCACGAAAAGCACATATAATGAAGGCATAAATCTTCAAAATGGCTCAAAAATATATGTATTTCATCTTTTAAATAGTTGAATAATTTATTAAAACAGATGGGCACTGTAGTTTTTAGGAAATGTTACTAAAAAAAGGAAGACTTTGGGACTATTTTCAGTGGTGGATTAATAGAGAATTTGGTGCTCTAGAGAATATTTGGGGAAACAGGATGGTGTACGTGGGATTGAGTCAATAGTGTGGCTCATTTATGTGTTTTTAATAGTTTCTGGACAACAATGGAGCTCTAAGGGGCAGAGGAATACGATATATCAGGCTTTGGATGCTCACACAATATGTGTTAGTATTATACATTCTTTGTAGGTTTTGGTCTTTTCATGGGATTTGTTATAGAGACAGCAGGAACACTAAATCCGTCGAAAAATAAGAGGATCCTAAATCTGATCGTAGATGTGTGAAGCCTACAGCTGATTATTAAGATCCAAAACATTCAGCATCAGCCTATAAAAGCCTCCATCTCTGACCTGCACTGGACAACCATAGGAGAGTGTTTGTCTGACCTGGGTTCAGGATGGGGCAGGTGCAGCCTCGTGCAGTCCAGGACTCGGGGTAAAGAGTGACCCGGCCCCGCTGTATCTTCACCTTGGTGTTCTGACTGAGCACCTTCTGAACTTTGACCTCCACCTCGGCATGGGAGCCCTTATCGTGAGCCGACAGCACTTTCACCTTCAGTACTAAGAGTCGCGTAGAGAGACAAGATGTATTAGCATTGACTTTTCTTTGACTTTTCAACAAAAAGTTAAGACTCTGACATCTTGTTTAGCTCGTTTAGGAGCATATAATTGTCTTCAAGTCCATTTTAATTCAGATTGTGACACTTTTGGACCCACAGAGGACCTCCAAGACCCGGGTTGTAATAAATAACAGTAGAATAAACAGTTCTTACCGTATGCATAATTCATGGTGCAGAAGAGTTTGCTGTTGGTCAGGGCTTGCTCTTTGCACTCACACTTCTCTGCAGGTGACACAGACACAGATTAATATATGAAACATAACTGATGTTGTGTGTGTGTGTGTGT